CTTAAACATATCTTAAAAATACTTTTTTATTCAGTCAAGATATAATCAAGGATAGGAATGAAAAATACATGACAAATTAGCTTAAAATTATTGAGGTGAATAGAAATGTCATCATGCATACTTTAATCCTATTGAACATATATAATTAAACCAATTTGTAAAATAACCTGCTACACAACAGAACTTAGGTAATTTCATAATGAATATGTTCTATTTTTTCTTTTTTTCTTTTTTTTTGTTTTACATTTTCTGTCAAATGTTTCCTCACCTTATACCTCACATCCGCCCTTCACCACCTAAAGTAACATAACATTTTAGCGATTAAAAAATCATTATATAGGGACCAGCAGTTGGCATAATGGCTATGTCACTGGACTCCCGTGTAGTCGACTGCAGTTCAAGTCCCAGACCTGGTGGCTTAAACTCATGCCGGACACGTGTGCGTGCATGCCCAAGATCCCAAGAGGAAAATGGAGGAGGAGGAATTGCAGTGTGGCCACCCCCCTGGGAGGTGATTTCTCGCTTTCTGTCTCTATGTCTCTCTCTGTCTGTCTGGCGAGTTCATGCCTCCTATAGCAAAAACCTCTAAAAAAAAAAGACATTGTATTATTGAATGTTTTGGTTTTTGCATGTTTAATCAATATTACTTTCGTCATTATGTGTCTTGTTTATGATGAAATTCATATATTCCTCCCCATGACTTTTAAGCAGACATAATTAAGGGAGCTAGTGCGAACAGTTAAGGCTAACCCTATTGGAATGGGTTAAGTATCCATCCCTGTTTATACTAGTTTTTGCTGCAAAGATACAAAAGTGGGTTGAAGAAACTTCAAGATAAAGAAAAAAGAGCCTTTTTTCCCTTAGACCTTCTAAAGCAGTGATTGTTAATTTGGACTACCTTTAGACATGGAACGTTTTAAAAATCCCAGTGTCTAGGTCTCCACCAGAGCATTTAAATTATTAATAGAATCTCTAAGGGCAGGGGACAGAAATCAAAAAAAAAAAAATCTCAGGTAAGTCCATTGTGCAGAAAGGCTTAGAAAACAAAGATTTATCACCCCGAAATCATAAATTGTTACACATTTAATTTTAATTAACAGGTAAACTACATTGGGACCTGTTTATTAGCCTTCAGACTCATACACATCAATGAGTTTCAAGTATGAACTCTGACCAGCCACATCAGCATAACTTGGGTAATTGTTAGAAATAAAAATTCTTGGGCCCTTCCCCAAATTTATTGAGTCAGAAACTCAATATCTGTTTTAATGGCCCTTCAGGTGATTGTAATTGTGTTGCGAATAGGTAAACTCTGCCTTACTTGACTGTGATTGTTGGGTTGTCAGAAAAGTTGTGACACATTTTTACATAGAAAAAATATATCACGACTTTTCTGATGACCCAGTACTGTATTTGTATTTTAATTATTTAAACTGAAATTGTATTTCTTATGTTACAACTTCAATTTTTGGATAAACTATGACTTCTATTGCCCTGGAAAAACTGTTAATTACTTTGTCAGTGGAAATAATTAATGTGGTTTATTTTTAAGCACGAATTTGAGTGACATAGGCCCAGAGAAGAGGCAAAACATGCTTCTCTCTTGGGGTAATCAGGTACAGGGATTCCTTTTATTTGATTTTGAGGGTGAGAGACAAAGTTTAGAATTGAGTGAAGAGCTTTCCATTGGTCTGACCCCAAAAGGCGGGACATGTGGAAGTGGGAGCTTGTAACAGAGGTAAGGGGACTTACACAGTCACAAGACACTGTCCCGAGGACTGGATGTTGGAAGAGCCCTGTTTTCAATGAGTCAAAATGGTTGGTTAGTGATTTAGTGATTTGGGGCTTATAGGGATACTATGGCAAGAACAGGATAGTAGTAAGATTTTTGTTATCAATTGGGCCAAAATGGGCTGTTAATGTCTGTGGGTGTGACTCACCCCAGGCTCTCTGGAAGGGATTTTAGAAACAGGAAAAAGCAATCAGACTTTTTTTTTTCTTGTAGAGATTTTCGCTATAGGGCGCATGTGCTCGCCAGACAGACAGAGAGAGACATAGAGACAGAAAGCGAGAAATCACCCCCCAGAGGGGATGGCCACGCCGCAATCCCTTCTCCTCCATTCTCCTATCGGGATCTTGGGCACACACGCACACGCGCCTGGCGTGAGTTTTAAGCCACCGGGTCCGGGACGCGAACTGCGGTCGACTACGTGGGAGTCCAGCGACATAGCCATTATGCCAACTGCTGGTTCCCAAGCAATCAGACTTCTATCTTCAACGTGCTAAACCTTAGGAAAATTTTATAGTTTTCCAAATTATAACTCAAGGGAAACTAGGTTGATAATTAAGTCTATAGTTATGATATAATTATTACTAAAATGATTATACAATGGAATAATTAGGTTTGCATAACTTAATAATAATTCAGGATTTCATAATAATTCAACTATTTAAGTGCCAGGCACTATTCTAGCTAATTTACACAACTTCATGACACTGTTATGAAGTAGTTATTGTTATAGGCTGGAGTTGAGCTGCATTGTGCAAAATCCTCTGTTCTTTAGGTCCAGATCACTAAGATTAGAGACCTGCCCTGAGACGCAAAGTGAAAAAAAACAAACACTTGTAAAGTAGGAAAACAGTTTTAATAGAAAAGTAAAGATTTTTAATAGAAAAGAAATACACCGCCGTGCCTGAAGGGCATGGAGATGGGCAGCTGCCAGAGAAGGACAACTGTGGTGGGCTTGGGGTGAGGGGTTACATTTATTCTCAGAGTTGGTGATGGATATTTAGCAGAGGAAGATCTGTCACAATATCTGGCTTCTTTGGAGTTCCTGGCCTTTTTCCTGCGCTTGTGTATATCTCTCACAGGTGAGGAATTCAATGACCTAATCCTGTATGTTCCATGTGGACTTCGAAGGTATGAGCATTCTTATTTGGATGGACTGTCCAATCAGCTTATTTCCCCTGTAAGAATCAGCACGTTGACCAAAACGTCTTGTTGGGTTCTTGTATTTATAAAGAATGGTAAGAGGGAAGTTCAAAGCACCTTCCCTAGGTGCTTTTCTCAGCTACTAAAGAAGAAAAATGGAATCCGCCTTGCCTTCTCAGCTCCAGAAGCTGGAAGGACAGAAGGCCTTTTCATGAAGGGTCTGGTTGTAACTCCTGCTAGGTTGTGATTGATGTGGCTGATGTCCTTCTGTTATTTTCTTAGGGCTGCCCTCTCATTTCTAGCTAACTGCCTATCCCATTACAATTATCCTAATTTCGCAGATAAAGAAACTGAGGTACAAGGAGGTAAGTATTTCCTCGAGGTCACAAAGTAGGGAGTGGGGCATTGAACAGGAACACAGACAGGCTCTCCTTCTCCAAGGTCTATGCTACACTGCCTCTTGCTGCTGAGTAAACACCTTAACAGCGTGTGGAGTATGGAGGCAGCACACTGTAACAGCTGTCCTTTATTGAGTAGCTATGGTGGCAGGCAATGTGTTAAGCTGCAGTGTCACCATTAGCTCGTTTATATCTCACGGTAGCCTGCCTCTCCGTTCTCCCCACACCTTTATAGATAATAAACTGAGCTCTAGAGATTGCCGTGTCAGAGTGCTTGTAAGGGGTAGAGGAGGACTTGGAGCTTTTCTTCTTGTAATTATTGGACTTCTAATTTATGAGAACTAGTACAGTATGGTAGCTAAGGGTAAAAGTGTTGCAACCAGAAGGCTTGGGTTCAAATACCATCTCTACCACTGGGCTGTGTACCTGAAGCAAGTTAATCTCATCTTTTTCCCATTTGAAAGACAGAGGTAATACATCTTACCTTTTTGTCTATGAGGATTAAGTTGATAAATATATAAGTGTGCTAAAAACAGGGCTTGATTTAGGACCCCCAAATTTTTGTGTACAATTAAAGAGACCTCTCTTCTCTCTTCAGGATTTTAGGCGTATGCACACATGCCCCTGGCATGATTTTCAAGCCACCAGCTCTGGGACTTCAACTGAGGTCAGCCATATGGGAGCCCAGTACCTTAACTGCTGTGCCAAGAACATTGAATAAACAGAAAAATGAAGATTATCTGATGAGGATAATGTGAATAGTAATATCTTTGACTGGACTAATATGCAGTGTATAGTGTATATTCATGTTGGGAAGGTCATTTGGTATGCTGTAAAGATGTACAATGATTAAATGTAAAAATAAATAAATACACCTTCCCCACGTTTCCAGATTGTTTGATACAGCGTTGTGAATTTGTTGTATTTTTCTCAGTTTGAGAATTGGACCGAGTGCTTTATGTTCAGAGGAATTTCACTTAAAAATTGAAGGACAAAGAAATAAGCAAGCAAAACACAAAGTTTATTGAGAGAGATACCTTTCCACACAATGGGCCAGTGCAAAGGAGGAGAGCAGGCCCAGTCTTCTCTGGGATCCCCTTTTAATCCTATTTTTAGACCATTCATTCAAAGAATATGCCCAAGGCCTCCTTCAGCTTCTTACTTTTTATCTTGCATTTATTTTTCATATCTTGTGGGTGACATGATGCAAGTAGTCATTTTGACTTTAGTGAATGTTACTAAGTAAGCGGTTCCATGGTCTTCCTTAACCCTCTGCACTCCTGGTATCCTAATTAACACCTAACAAGACCATATAGTTACAACAGCGCTGTGTCTTGGCTATTGCTGCTGTTGGCGAGCTGCCCACAGTCCCCTCAACACAGGACCGCAGCTGCCATCAGGGCTGTTTGGGGGACCATATTGGAATATTGGGCAAGTTATCCTTTCAAAGTATTCGAAAATCATTTAAGTATCAATAAGGCATTGTTAAGGATAACAGGCTGGTAGAATGCTGGGTTCTCCTGCTTGGTTCTGAAATTGAGTCACGAGGCAAAACCGCCTGCAACAGATGACGGGACCGCTTTTCCCGGGCACACTGCAAAGGGACCCTCGGAAAACCCGACAGCGGGCTGCGCATGCGCCACGTCCGCCCCGCCCCGCCCACCGGCGGGTGGCGTTGCTGTGGTAACCGCAGTAAACGGAGGACTGAAGGGATCCTCGGTGGATAGAAATCCGCGATCCGGGTCGCCACCTTGGGTAAGTTGGGACCCCAACAGCTCGTCGGTTCTTCCAGCGCCCTCCCCCACCGCCCAAGGCCCTTACGAGTCAGTAAACAGCGGACCCAGTTGGACTTCGCGGGCTGAGCCAGTGTTCTCCAGGCTCCGCTCAAACACGACCTCTTACACCCGCGGAGCGAACACTGGAAACGGCTGGTATTCCTGGGCCCGATCCTGCCGGGGAGCGCTCCCGGCCTGGCTGGGCTGAAACTCAGGCAGCTGGATCTGCAGGAAGCAGCGCGTCTGTGGATAAGTGCCCGGGCCCTGGGGTCAAGCAAGCCACCCCACGCACACTTAGCTGCGCGTGACACTTGGCACGTGCAGCCAAGGTGACCCTTCTGCACTTAGATTTCCTCCTCTCGGAAAAGGAGGAGGTAATGCTTTCCTCCTGGGGTTCTTGTTTAAATAGGATAGTGCCAGGGCCAGCAGGTGGCGTGGTGGTTAAGGTGCTGGACTTCCACATGGCTGACCGGGTTGGAATCCCTACTCCATGGCTTGAAAATCTCGCGCGGGGCACCAGCAGTTGGCTTAATGGCTACGTCGCTGGACTCCCATGTAGTCGACCGCGGTTCGCGTCCCGGACCCAGTGGTTTAAACTCCACGCCTGGTGCGTGTGCATGTGCGCCCAAGATCCCAAGAGGAGAATGGAGGGGAAGGGATTGCGACGTGGCCATCCCCCCCTGGGGGGTGATTTCTCGCTTTCTGTCTCTCTGTCTCTCTCTTTCTGGCAAGTGCATGCACCCTATTGTAAAAACCTCTCCAGGGTTGAGGGAGAAAGAAAAAAAAAAAATGAAAAGAAAAAGAAAATCTCCAAAGAAAAGAAAATCTTGCTTGGCTTGTGTACATGATGCATGGTCAGAATCCAGAGAGGAGAATGGAGGAAAAGGCATTGTGGCATGGCTGTCCCATCGGGGATGATTTCTGACTTTCTCTCTGTGTGTCTCTCTCTCCTGTGAATGCACCAGCCATATGGCAAAAATTAAAAGTACAAATAAAGGATAATGCAGACAGGGCAAATAGTAGGTGCCCAGTAAGTATCTGTTGAACGAATAGGCAAAGACATAGGGCATAGAGGTAATCAGTGTGTTCGTCCACCCCGAAATGTCTGGATTGCCTACTGACTAAAACTTGAAAAAGAGTAAGAGCCAAGGAGGGACTGGAGAGTGGAGGGGAGAGGAGGGAAGAGGGGGGGTAGGGGAGAGGAGGGGAGAGGAGGGGAGAAGAGAGGAGCTATAAACCATGAATGAAGACCACAATGCTGTGCCAAGGCATCTGAGTGCTCCTCCTTGTAGTGAAGAGCCATTAAAGGTTTTAAACTAGAACAGTGTCGCATTAAAAGCGCCGTTTTAGAAACGTAAGAGGCAGCGTAGAAAATGGATTAGAGAAGGGAGAGATGAGATATGAGGCTGTGGTAATGGCAGAGGTGAGACACAATGAAGACCAGAACTATCGTGGTGGTGGCAGTAGGATGAGAAGGGAAGGAGAGAAGTTAGAAAGCTTAGTAACTGGATTCTTGGAAATCAATTGCATGACTAGGTGAGAGGGAAGGATTAAAAAAGAAAGCACTTTTCCATCTGCAAAATAATAATAGTATCTACTTCATAGGCTTGTTTTGAGAACTATATGAGATCAATGTGCAAAATTTCTTAGACCTGTGCTTGACATGTGGTAAACAAAAAATAGAAACCCACAAGCTGTCTTATATTCTCCCCACAGTTGTAGTCTGTGTTACCAAGCGCAAACGGAGTCAGCTTTATGCATGAATCACTGTGAATCTTAACCTGATCAGCTCCAGGCACACGCTGAGATGGTGTTTGAGTCTGGGAGAGTGGGGGCCAGTCCCTGGACTCTGAACGGATCAGAGTAATGTCACCTTGGGGGGGCACTCAGGCTTCCCACCAGCCCTCGACCAACACTCTCCTCTGCATAGTCTTGCCATTTGTTTCTTTACACATTCTTAAGATTGACTCAAAACTGAACCATCTATCTAACGAGATGGTTAAAATTGGCCATAGGCCAAGACTGATAAGGCTGAATCTAATGAAGATTGAAGATAGTTCTGCGAACAGATGGGACATGGTGTCGGACCCGCAAATAAGGGTTAGTCATTTCAGGTGCTTATAAACTGTGACGAGCCTGCCCTCCGCCCAGATAATGCATTCTCACACCACTTTAAAGGAATGCACTGGAGGTCCCCAATACGTGAAGTCTCTTCTGGAAAATGTCTGGATCTTACGAGGAAGATATAAAATTGAGAGAGATATATGATGCACTGGGAGTTGGCTTCTTGAGCTATCGGGATGGTGAGGAAAGATGGAATCATGTCATTGAGGAATAACTGAAAGAATTAGGATGCTTTAGCTAAGAAAAGAGATGAACTGGGGAGACGGACGTTAATTTCAATGATCTGAGTGGCTGGAGTGCCCAGAAAAACTTGTCTGTGTGTGGCCAAAAGAAAGAATCAGGGTCAAGTGGATCCAAGTACAGGAGGCAGATTTTAGCCTGATATGAAACATGCTAAGAACGAGAGCGAAGCGTTAACAGACCGTGTTCAGGCTCTTATCTGAAATATTCAAATTGAAGCGATTTCTTTAAATGGTCCCTCATGCAAATATAGTTTGTCTAGATGTATGCTCAATGGTTTTAAGAATGAAATTGACTTAAACTATGAAGAGCCTTGAAAGCAATGGGGAAAATAGCATTTAGATATGTGTGTAGCTATCTAAATAATTTTACCACAGTACGTGGTAATTTGCAGCTGAGCTCTGTGATAATTGGTATTGCCTTGCATATTTTTTTCCTTAGTCAGTCATTATGAACATAGAAAGTAATCCTATGTGTCCACTGGAAGGAAGAGGAAATATACTAAATAATGAAAGGAAGAGAGAGAGATGGACCAAAGGAAGGATGGCAGGGGGTTGATTTTAATAGTGGAACATTTGGAGATAAGACAGACTTGGGTGATGTGTCTCACTGTGGACTTCTGGACAGCGAGAGTGCCCCATGAGAACAAATATACCTGGGGTAAGGTAATCTGTAATTGTCATTTACTGTTTTACAGAGCACCAAAGGTGACTGCCTCCTCCTGTCAGTGGGTCATCTTGGATACTACGCAGACATAAAATTATCAACACGTGTGGTGTTTGGTGCTTGTGGAACTTGTTAGGGGCTAGTATCTGTTCATTTCTATTTTATAGCATTGTCCCTTTCTCTATCTCGACTTTTCACTTACAGAGAAAATGAAGGAACCGGATGATCAGGACCCTGATGGGGGAAAAGCAGACAGATCAAAGAGTGATGAGAAGCAGTCCCTGAGGTCTTCTCAATCGGAGCGGAGATGTAAGTATGTGCTTGTATTGGGGGAGGGGGTCGTGGTCCTTTTGTTGTTATATCTGTGAGCATTGTCTGTGCTGTTACATGTGTCCATTCATTCTTGTGGATGTGTAGTACTCCATTGTGTGCCTGGATCACATTCATATTTCTAGTCAACTCAAGATGAACACCTCCGTAATTTGCTTCTGTTGATCATACTCTTGTGAACATTCTGGGCCTGTCTTTTGGTGAGCACACATACTTACTTCATTGATTGACTGATTGACTGGTTACATTCCATCATTGTACATCTCCGTAGTACACAGTATGGTTTTTCCAAGTCTGCCTGTAGTATGTCATAATCAAACCAAGGCTATTACCACATGCATCATTTCGACAGAGAACTTTACATTCTTTTGTCTGTTAAGTGTTTCTTCCCTTTTCCCCTCCCACCAAAAAAAATAATGTTTAGAGAATTCGTATCTGAGTTTATAGAACTATTTCTGTTCTATAAACGGTTATAGAAATTATAGAAATGGTTCTATAAACTCATGTTTTTTTCTAAAGAGAGATTTTTGATATAGAGCATGTGCACTCACTAGAGGACAGAGAGACAGAAAGCAAGAAATCAGCCCCTGAGGGGATGGCCACAGCATGATCCCTTCTCTTTCATTCTCCTCTCGGGATTTTGGGCACACACATACATGCACCTGGTGTGAGTTTTAAGTCACCAGGTCTGGGATTTGAACTGCAGTTGACTACATGGGAGTCCACAACGTAACCTTTACGCCATTTGCTGGTCCCCTGATTCTATAAACTCTTCAGTAGAATTTTACTTACAAAACTCTAAGTTTCTTGGGGCCGGCAGGTGGCGTGGTGGTTAAGGGCACTGGACTCCCACATGACTAACTGAGGTTCAAGTCCTGGACCTGGCAGCTTGCTTTCTTTCTCTTTTTCCCTCTCTCTCTCTCTCTGTCCCTCTCTGGTCAAATGAAAATAAAAAAATACATAAATAAAGTTAAATAAAATAATAATTTTTTTAAAAAAGGAAAAGAAAAATCCTTCTAAGTTTCTTAAGAGTAAAGTGTATGTTTTGATCATTTATCCCCAGTTCCTGGCACATAGAAGTTTCTGTCACTTGCGCATTGATAATAACCTACCTGCACATCCAGTCTAGTTTTTTCTTCTGTGAGGTCCACTGAGTCTTTAAGGGTCTGTCTTGTTTTACCATTTCTACTTTTCTCCACTCCTATATTGTTTCTTCATCATCTCCTCCTCCTGCTTCTTATAAAATTTATTTATTTTTGTATTATTTATTTATTGAGAGAGAGAGGGAAAGAAAGAGAGAGGGAGAGAGAGACCCCCCACAGGGTCTTCATGCTATGATCCACTCACATCCCAGCCAGGACAACAGGCATGCATGCTCACACCTGTGTACAGGGAAGCCTCAAGATGGGGACCTGGGCCCTTCCCCTGGGGGCCAGCATTGCAGAGTTTCCTGCTGCACCACTGTCTGCACCCACTGGCACCACCACATGTCTCATATAAGGCTGTCTTCTTTTTGGCTTCCAGAGCTTACAGTATTTTCCTGGATGCTTCCCTCAGCTTTCCAAAAATGAATTTAAGGATAATAGTCCTTTGTCTAGCATTGTCTCAGGACCCCCTTTCTTAGGTCAGACCCCCTTAGAGGCAGGACTTGTGGCTTGCTCTGTGCATAGCTCCTAAATTAGTTTACCTACCATAGGTCTTAGGATCCTAGATGATAATATGAAATAATTTGTTGGCATTCTCTACCTTGGTGCTACATGAAATGGTCTCTTACCTGTTCTATCTGAGAGTTGCATTTCTTTCTTTCTTTCTTTCTTTCTTTCTTTGCTTATTTGTTTCCACCTGGATACCTTGCCTTGCTCTCAGGCTTATTCAACTTTTGAGCAGCTTCTTACCCTTTGAGAGTCCTATGCAGAGGGAATAAAATTCCCGGGTTTTGACCCAAGCAGAAAAGTCAAAGTGGACTCTTTTCCATATTTAATAAGAAGTTTCTGCTACATCTGCGCTCTTTTTTTAAAAAAATAATTATTTAATTAATTTATTTACTCATTTTTCAATTTGACCAGTGAGGAGGAGAGAGACCGAGAGAGAAAGAGAGAAAGGGAAAATGAGAAAGCAAGCCACCAGGTCTGCGATTGGCCCTGTGGGAGTCCAGTGCCCTCAACCACCGGCCACCTGCCAGCCCTTACCTGAATTCTTTTAAGAAATTTAGTCTGGGAGCCCACCATGAGAGCTGAGATCTAATGCTTTCAGGGAACAGAGAAAAGAAGATGTTCTGCTGAGAAGTCACCCTGGAGAGGCAAAAAGGGCAGGCCTTCAGAAGAAGCCTGAGTCTGCCATGAGAGCGGAGATCTAGTGCTTTCAGAGAATAGAGAAATGAAGATGTTCTGCTGAGACATCACCCTGGTAGAGCCCCCTCTATCCTCTCTGTCTGTCTCTGTCTCTTTCTGTCTCTCTGTCTTAGTCTTTTCATTTTTAAAATTTTTCTTTTTTTAAAATTTTTTAAGGTAAAATACTTCTTGGCTGAGAAATCCTCCTTTATCTTGGTAATAATCCCCTCCCCTTTCCTCCCTCCCTTTTAGGAGACGCAAAAAGGGCAGGCCTTCAGAAGAAGACTGAGTCGGCCACGAGAGCTGAGATCTAGTGCTTTCAATTTTTGTTTTTTAAAATAAATAATTTTTTTGGTTTGATTTTTTTCTTTTTTCTCTTTCTTCTTTCTATCTTTCTCTGTTTTCTTATTCTTTCTCTTTTACTTCATTACTGCTGCATGGCCTCTGTGCACTGAGTGTCTAGACAGGTCCAAGTAAAATGTAGCCAAGCATCCGAATACTATTAGGGTCAATGTGTTCCTCAATTCCCACTGAATCTGTGACACAAAGGGAGAAAAACTGAATGGCAAAGAGTTTGCAGACCACCTCCTCCTGTGCACCTCTGATCACTCGGATTGAACTTCTAGAAATTAGGAAGAAACGAATAACCCATCAGAAGACTAGAAATCACTGCAGAGGCATAAGAAATGTAAGAAACCAAGGAAATACCTCTCCCCCAAGGGAAGAGAATAACTCCTCTTCATCCACAGACAGTACAATGGAACTCACAGAAATGTCTGATAAATAGCACGTACAAGAATGCTGGAATGGTTGTGTTGATATAATAGACTTCAAGATAAAATAGACTTCAAGGCATGGAGTATAACCAGGGACAAAGAAGGACATTTCATAATGATAAAGAGATTAATTAGGAGAACAGACCAATCATGTATACATATGTACCTCATAACAGAGCGTCACAGTATATGAAGCAAAAACAGATTGAACTGAGTCCAGCAAGTAGCACTGGACTCCCACAGGCTGACTGCAGTTCAAGTCCTGGACTTGGTGGTTTGCTTTCTCATTTTCCCTCTCTCTGTCTCTCTCTCTCTCTCTGTCTCTCTCTGGTGAGCACACATTCCCTGTAGCAAATTTTAAAAAATAGTAATAAATAAAATCAAGAATTCTTTTTTAAAAGGATTGAATTGAAGGAAGACGAAATAATTCCACACTCTTGGTAGAGGAACAGTCTGGTACTAGTTATTTTATAATGACCAAAGGGAAGTCTCTACGATTGCTACTTGCATATGAGGGAGGGAGACCCTTCAGAAGTTAATGGAAAATGCATATTATGAAACAACTACACGCATGGATTTCAAATGTTACACCAAAAAAAAAAAAAACCCGTGTACCTTAATTCCATTTCTCATGAACCTTTTAAAGTCTCCCTGTCTTATTGTTGTATGCACCAACCCTGCTGTTAAATAATGATAAAGTTTAGGTAGCTTTTATAGGTTTTCTGTGTGCACGATTATATCATATGTATCCTCATCGTGCTCCCAGTCTCAAAGAGAAGGTAAAGATAAACAAGGAATCACAGGCAAAATATGTGCAGAGGCAGTATCTCTGACAGCCTGGGGAAGAGGCTGCACGGCTTTCTCGTTCCATCGGCTAGAAAGGAAAACTGAAGGAACTCACATGTCCAAACCTGGATAATAAACCAGAAATAACTGGTTCTTTTGGGTACTACTGGCTACTTCCGGTCCCCTCTCTCCTCATCGCCCCCCTTTGCTTTCTTTCACACCTACCCTGTCCAGCTTCCACCAGTCTGGCCAGCTCTTTGCCAGCTGCCCCTGCCATCCATGGGTGACTTGGGGCTTTACATACTACTAGGTCCACAAAAGGCGGGATTTGTGTTTTTGGCTTTCATCCTCACTGTTGATTTCAGATTATTTCCAAGAATAGAAAGGCAAATGCCGGTTAATACTTCAAACCATAAGCCTTCCACCAATCTATTTGGGAATTAGAAAGATTATAAAAATCTCCAGTCAACACTAAGTTGCCTCGGTCTACTACTTCCTCGGCTTACTTTATGTGCCTACTTCCTGCCAAAGTAGGTGGGTTTTTTCCACCCCCAAATTCTACTTTTTTCATCAATCACACAGCCCTTCTCCCAGGTTCATAATATCCACAATTTCAAAAATCTTCTTTGTCATTTGTATTCACTCCTGATTACATTATTGGTGACTGTCTTAGCTTGCAGCCTTAACTCATCTTTTGGCAGTTTTAGCTCTTTTAGGAGTTGAGGAGAAGCTGGTGATTAAGAGTGTTAAGTTTTTGCCATAGAGCAGGTGCCACCACACCCAGCAGGTGGCATGGTGATTAGGGTGCTGCACTTCCACATGGCCAACCACAGTGTGAGTCCCAGATCTGGTGGATTGCTTTCTCACTTTACATCTCTTTCTCTGGTCAAACTAAATAATAATAATAATAAATAAACAAATAAATAAAGTTAAATAATATTTTTTAAAAGAGTGTTAAGCTTTTAGTATTGCCTTATCTTGAGATGAAGACAGTGGTCTTTGGTTGCCATGTTCTCGACAAGAAGGAGCTACGGTATTATTGCAGTTATTCCCCAGTCTCTCAGGAAACTCAAGCTATGGGTGTGTGCCATTTAGGTACCCAGGATTACTTTCTCTCCATCCAGGTATAATAATCCTTCCAAACCCTATCCTGTTGCCAGCTGAGTGCCTTGGCCCAATTTTTCTGCCTCGTTGATATTCGTTCCTAATCTCTTAGCTTCATCTCAGATCCCCTAGGTAGCTCTTTACACTCCCTGTTTCTTTCATGTTCTGAAAGTTCTCCCAGCATTATCCTTCTTCTGTTGGACATTGCATGTATGAACCATTCCTACGTGTGGACTTGGTCTGAATGTTGAGTCATGTCTGGGCCATCCTGCTTCCAGCTCAGTCCTCTTCCCCTCCTAGCTTGTCTCGAAGCCAATATTCTAACTTATTATTTTTGGGATATCACTTAAGAGAGAAATAATCATACTTAGAGAAGGTTATTCTTGACTAAGCATTATTTGCTGTTAACATAATAGATCCTCTATAAAAATTGGTAAAAATCAAATTTAACTGAAATGATGATAGCATACCATAATTTCCTTTTTTATCTTTTTCTTTCTCGTAAGTATGCAGTCATAAGAAATAGGCTGAAAATTCAGTGAAAATTGAGCTTAACTCGTAGAAAAGGCTTTTTCGTTTTGTTACGTTATAAGGCTAACCAAATAAAACGATTCTTCTTTGGATTTTTGAGAGTATAAAAATTGGAAGTTTTAGCTACTTTAGGAAAAAAAATGTTTAGCTGAAAATGAGAAATTGCTAAAACAAATTATTTTAAATAGCAGCTACAAAAGATGATAAATTTTCAGAAGATGCCACAGAAGAAACATTTACGGAAGGGGAAGAATCATATTTAGATGAAGACGACTTAGACCTGGAACAATTGGAAGGCAGCTCAAGCTCATTACAAGATAATTATTCAGAAAGCACTAGAGGTAAGTATTAAGTAGTAATCATTTTCTAAAAGTTATTGTCACTGTTTTAAAGATAAATTGTTAAGATGAAATGAACAGTTTATATCTATAGAAAGAAAATGTGCCAGATGTGGGTATGTGTGAGAATGAAGAAAGGAAAAGCATTTTCCATATTTTGGTAGGGTGGTTTAGCATCCCCGGAGTTGTATATAATTAATTAAATGTAAATACTTTAAATGCACTACAATTTTATAACATTTTTTAAAAAAGAATTATTTATTTAATTTAATTTTATTTATTCATTTTATTTTAATTTGACCAGAGAGAGACACAGACAGAAAGAAAGAAAGAGGGAAAATGAGAAAGCAAAGCCAACAGGTCTGGAACTCAAACTGTGGTTGGCCATGTGGGAGTGTCCAGTGCCTTAACCACCATGCCACCTGCTGGTCCCCTGTATTCCATTTTTTACGTGTCATACATAGAACTCTTGGAGTCAGCTTTCTAGGGATCAAGATAGTCTAAAAAGTGCTCCAGTCCAGGTTTGTGAGAGTTCTCCAACTCTTCCTTGGACCTGATTGGGAATTGCTCTCTGAGACTGTTGAAGCCATGACTTCCGCTCAGCCTCTGCCCTGAGGTACACAGGCACATGGGTTCTTCCTCCCATGCACAGGGGTGGGTGGTCATTAATGTTCATGCCAGTAGTGGGACTCTAAATGGGAGTTGTTCTGTACATCCTTCCTGACTTTGGGAAATACAATTTTGGGATTTACTGGGCATTTTTCTTAGTTAAATATTTTAATATTTTAGCATCTCAGGGAACGCCTGCCCCAGCTGTGGAAGAGGCAGAGAAGGAGGTTAAGAAGAAATTATCAGAAAGCTTCTTCTACAATTACATGGATCTTGCTTCTATGCCTTTTATAACTCCAGAATCAAACATACCCGTGGATCTTCTCAGGCTCGTGTATCCACTCCAGCTACATCCGTATACTCTGGAAATGTTAGTTATTGAGATCAGCATTGGTGAATTACCCCCATGGGCCTTCTGTCTATTTTTGTGAAGAAATGGTATTGCAGTACAGACATATTCACTGGCACTTCAAATATGGTTGCCATCATCTTTAAGGGCAGAGGGCACTAGTGTGACAGAGACCCACCAAGTCTGAAAGGGGTGCTACCTGACCAGGAACAATTTACCAACCCCTGTGTTGGGTAATTCTAAGAAACATAGCCCTCAGAGGATTTGAAATAGAAGTGTATGGTCTTAATTCAAACTAAGTGTTGGCTGATGCCAAATAACCATAAAGAGAATTATGCTTTCTTTTTTTTTTTTTTTGACCATCCTTTGCACAGGTGAAAAGATCACAGTTCAGGGGACATGATGGGTAAGAGACCAGAAGCGTCTTATCACCATTTACCTCCTCTCCCAGCCTCGCCTTCCTTTGCCAGTGCCTGTGAAGTTTAATTGCTGACTACCCTTCCTGACACACTAGCATGGCCATTGTTGGGCATTAGTTCTTTCGCATTATGTATCAGCTGAGTTATCAGAGAAGATGACCCTGAAGAAAGAGGGCACAAAATAGCCAGTTTTAATTGGTCTGGAGAGTAAGAGTCTGTGAAGAAAGGCAAAAGTGGGAATGATGGGCCAGCAGATGACTTGGAGGTTAAGGCACTGGATCCCACATGGCCGGCTATGTGGTTGGAGTCCCAGACTCAGCAGCTTGAAATTCACACCAGGTGCGTGGGCGTGAGTGCCCAAAATCCTGAGAGGAGAGTGGAGGAGGAGGGATTGCAGCATGGCCATTCCCCTGGGGGGGTGATGTCTCACTTTCTCTCTCCCTGTCTCTGTTTCTCTCTGGCAAGCATGGCCATTCCCCCGGAGGATGATGTCTCACTTTCTTTCTCTCTCTGTCTCTCTCTGGCAAGCACAGATGCCCTACATCAAAACAAAAACAAATAAAAAAAGTGGGAATGACTGACAAGGAGAGTCAGTGTTTGTCATCACTTTATGGTGTTAGGTTTGCAAGGTGCATAGTTAGAAGATGATTTCTATTAACATCCTTAGCAGTTTAGTGTGCTTGCCTGCAGGTGGGTAGTAGTTATCAACCCTAAGGTGTATACCATTGACTGGCTTCTTATAATAGGTGTGCTTGCAGAGACAAGATGGTGTACTACTGACTCAGTTTTTTTTAAACCGATTTTTGTGATAGGGCACCTGTACTTGCTGGAGAGACAGACAGAAAGCGAGAAATCACACACACACACACACACACACACCCTGCCCCGTGTGGGATGGCCATGTCACAATCCCTTTTCCTCCTTTCTCCTGTCAGGATTTGGGGCATGTACACACATGTGACCAGCATGAGATTCAATCCTCAGGGTCAGCCATGCGGGAGTCCAGTGACATAACTATTACGCCATTTGCTGGCCCTCGATTTTGCTTCTTACTTAAAAATAGGACATGTTGTCAGTATAGTTTCTAACTCTGATTCAGTTCCAGGTGTGACTAATTTTACCCTGAATCATCTTGTAACCTGAAACTTTCACTCTCCCTCTCCATTTAAAATTTTTTTTTTGTCTCTATACAAGTTTCTTGCTTTCTTTTGATCTGTTTTCTTGAGAAGGTGTGAGATGGTTTATTGAGTCCCCGAGGAGCTCTTCCTGAAGTACACATTGCTCTGCAGCCTTCCTGGACCTACTGCCCATTTCTGTATGGAGGGGGACTTGGGCATATGTACTTGGAAAAAGCTTCCCAGGTGGTTTACACATGCCACCTTCTTCCAGCTCCCAGCACTGGGGTGTCACTGCTCCAGGATAGGAGAGTCTCTATATTAGAGAGCTATTCTTTGATTCTGTAGACTTAGAAGAATCTGGATTTTTGATTGGATGTATGAATCTTCTGTACTTATACTGAACGAGTGGCTATATTCACTATAACCTTTTCTTGAACATTTTCAACACCAGGGAACGTATAGTTTATTCATTTCTGGACAGCTTTCATTGTTAGAGAGCTCTGTGAGGCCTTGACTCAAAAGTTGCTTCTCTGAAATGATCCTCATTGGACTTAGTTTTTCTTCTGGAGATGAAACAAATATAGTCTATCCTGTGAGAAACTCTAAGAAGTTAGTCATCTATTCCCTAAGTACTCTTTTTTATTTTGTGTGTGTGTGTGTTAGTATATTCCTAAGTGTAGTTTCTTTTTTTAAGTACTCTTTTTTAATCCTTTAATCAAAAAATGTACCATTTGCAAAATAGTACCTAAATCATAGCATAATTTGTAAAAAACAAAACAAAACAAAACCAAAAACACAAAAACAAAAACATCGAACCAAATTTCAAATAGCATTTAAATCATTTTAAAGTGGAGGGTTTAGAAGGCCATGAACAAACACTGAAGTCCATGGGTCTCTCACAGGAAGTTAAGAAAGGCAAGCCAGAAGAAAGGGTGAGATAAAACAAAAGGAAATTAAAGATATATCAAGACACATTTTAATTCTTCTGAGGGACTGCTGCTGGGTTAAAAGGGAGGGACCAGAGGCCAGATGGTGGTGCAGTGGGGGGACGTGATGTTCTGTGAGGCTGAACCCCTGGGAAAGTTTCAAGTTCACTTCCAGAGACCTGCCCAAGTTCATTGGGCATCCGTGTACCCATGATCTGAGACTGACTGAGGCTGAGGGTGGATAGCAGTGTTGACCCTGTTGGGGATGTCGTGGAAATGTTCATGGAAATAAATAAATTCATAACATTAATTTATTAATGACATAAACATTTACCAAATAATTAATAGGCTCAAGACATTGTGCTAGGCATTCTGGAAAATAGAAATGGCAAGGAAGTCTGTTCCTTCAAGTATGTTGTAATTTAGAGATAGAGAATTTGAGAAGTTACAGTCACACCCATTCTGGGTTTGAAAGGGTTTTTGGTCAGAGCAGCAGCTTGTAAGAGGGAGTTTTTCCATGATAATATTGGATAAAAGACAGTATTTCTAATTCTTAATTCTCATTCAAGTTAGTGAAGAGAAGGTAACCCACCTCTAATGTTAAATATTGTTAGCCCTCTAAAATGCAAGGGGTCTTCAGAAAGCTTATGGAAGATGCATATCATGAAGAACCTGTGTATAAATTTAAAAATCTTTTTTTTTTTTTGAGAGGTTTTTGCTATAGGGCGCATGCGCTCACCAGAAAGACAGAGAGAGACAGAGAGATAGAAAGCAAGAAATCACCCCCCAGGGAGGATGGCCATGCTGCAATCCCTTCTCCTCCATTCTCCTCGGGATCTGGGGGCACGCACACACTTGTGCCCAGCGTGAGATTAAGCCACTGGGTCTGGGACTTGAACAACAGTCGACTACATGGGAGTTCAGCAACATAGCCATTACACTAACTGCTGGTCCCTGAATTTCAAAATCGTTTGTATCAAAATAAACTTGTACTTTAATTCCATTTTCCATGAAATTTTTGAAATTGTCTTGTATTATATATATATATTTTTTTTTCTTTTTTTGGAGAGGTTTTTGCTATAGGGTGCATGCGCTCGCCAGAAAGATAGAGAGAGACAGAGAGATAGAAAGTGACAAATCACCCCCCAGGGGGGATGGCTATGCCGCAATCCCTTCTCCTCCATTCTCCTCTCGGGATCTTGGGCACGCACACACATGCACCCAGCATGAGTTTAAGTCACCGGGTCCGGGACTCGAACCACGGTAGACTACATGGGAGTCCAACGACATAGCCATTACGCCGACTGCTGGTCCCAAATCCTCTTGTATTATATTGACACAGAGTAGAAAGAAAGAAGAATGCAAGGTGAGTGCTGTGGCTTGGGAAAAAGGAAAAAAAGAGTAGGCAAAACTTTCTTCTACCAGTCACTACAAAAATATGGAGATATTTGTCTACACGTTTTATTTAAAGTCCTATAGCTGGGACCAGCAGCTGGCGTAATGGCTATATTGCTGGACTCCCACGTAGTAGACCGCGGTTTGAGCCCCAGACCCGGTGGCTTAAACTCATGCCGGGTGCATGTGTGTGTGTGCCCGAGAGGAGGATGGAGGAGAAGGAATTGTGGCATGGCCAGCCCCCCGCTCAGGGGATGATTTTTGCTTTCTGTCTCTTTCTCTCTCTGTTTCTCTGGTGAGCACACACGCCCTATAGCAAAAACCTCTCCAAATAAATAAATAAAATCCTATGGCTAAGGAGGTAATAATATTCTTCAGGAGAGCCAAATAGCTTCATTTAGACTTTTAGAACACACGTTTTTCGTGTTTCTGTATAAGACTCACTTTTAGGCATTTACAAGGAGACTTGGTGTCAGCAGGTGGCATGGAGGTCAGGGTGCTGGACTCTCACGTGGCTGATTGCAGCGCAAGTCCTGGGCCTGGTCTCCTGTTTTCTCACTCTCCCCTCCCCCCTGCCCTGACCCTCTCCAGTCAAATTGAATAATAATAATAATAAACAAAATAAAATAATTCTTTTTATAAAAATAAAGTTAATGGACAGGAACTGCAGGTGGTATAGTGGTTGTGTTGCTAGACTCCTATGTGGCTGACCGTGGTTTGAATTCTGGACCTAGTGGCTTGAAACCCACACTAGGTGTGTGTGCGTGTATGCCCAAAATCCCAAAAGGAGCACGGAAGAGAAGGGATTGTGGCATGGTAATCACCCCAAGGGACGAAAGGGTGATTTCTCACTTTCTCTCTCTGTGTCTTCAGCAAGCACATGCTCCCTATAGCAAGAATCTCTTTAAAAAAGAAGTTAATAGAATTAAAGCAGAAATTTATTTCAGTGCAGAAAGTTTTGAAATCCTTTTATAATTTTTTCAAAATATACATTTTCCATAAACTCTTAGAGGACTCCCTATCTATCCTTATTTATAACATTTCTTTTTCTTAAAGAGATAAAATATCCTGAAACACTTCTCTTACTTTTTCAATTTAACTATTTGGTAATGAGATAGGTTACATATAGTTGATTATAATTTGTTTATATTTCATAATTCAAATTGCATTTATTTAAATATTCTCTTCTGCTTTACATTTGATATGTTTTTCTTGTTAAAAGTAATTTTAACATGGAATTTCTTTCTTGAAAATTTGTATTTACTTATAAATAAATGAAATCCTCTAAAATTATAATTTATTTTTTAACAAGGGCCCAAGAGATAAAGATTTCTCTTTTTTTTGGAGAGGTTTTTTGCTATAGGGCACGTGCGCTCGCCAGACAGACAGAGAGAGACAGAGAGATAGAAAGCAGGAAATCACCCCCCCAGGGGGGATGGCCACGCCGCAATCCCTTCTCCTCCATTCTCCTCCTCTCGGGATCTTGGGCACGCACGCACACGCGCCCGGCGTGAGTTTAAGCCACCGGGTCCGGGACGTGAACCACGGTCGACTACGTGGGAGTCCAGCGACATAGCCATTACACTAACTGCTGGTCCCGAGATAAAGATTTCTTCAATGATTCTTCAGCTTCCATGTTACCAATAGATTCTTATAAATGAATAATCTATCTACTAAAGATACACTACATAACACTTTTTTTTCCTTTTGCCAACTGTAATTTTGTTCATAGATTGATCTCCTTTGACTTATTTACTAAATTTATAACTTGGGTTATAGTAATTTGAACTTGAATGTAATAGTAATATACATTTAAAGGATGTTTAAATTAGGGGGTCTTCAAGCAGTTAATGGAAAATGAGTATTATGAAAGTATGTGTGCATTTCCAAAAAAAAAATTGTTCCAAATAAACTCATATTTTAATTTCATTTTCTACATTTTTAATTTCATTTTCCCCTTGTATAACTCAGATTTTTTTACCTCTGTTTTGAATTATTGCAATTTTAATCCATAACATAAAAAACACACATAGACACTTGTCTACACACCTTACGAGTACTATTAGTGCCTCAACTACATAATAATATTAGTATATTTTATTTAACCAATTTTTACAATTTGTATGATTTAAATTTAAATTATGTTTATCTGAATTTAGTACAACAGTCATGTTTTCAAGTGGTGTGCTAAATTTCATAAATGTGTCCGAATTTTAAACATCTTTTCTTTCAACAGCAAAGAAGAGACCTATATAATATCTTCACTATGGTCAGACAACAGGCTTAACAGGCATTGTGAATACAAAATCATGAACTTTCTGTTGCATTCTACAATGTGATTTAGTTTTAGTGGGAGAGACGAAAATGAAATTCTTTAGGTAACTGTTTTGCTCCTTATGGTGCCCAATGACAAGTTTAACATTATTTATAATTGCAAAAATAAGTAATATTCTTTCAGGATTTCCATAGAAAATTAAAATGTTAACTAAGTTAGAGCTTGAGAATGTTCACTTAATTTGAAAACAAACTGTATTAGTAATACATACAAAAACTATGGGTTTCCATGTAAGATTCAGTTATCTCAACCTCGAATCTTTATCTGAGAGTGTGGCTGTTTTATTTCACTTGTTTTCCTTAGTGCCTTTCTCTCAGACATTCTTTTGGCTATGACTGTAAAAGGCGAGCCAACCTACAACTTCTGGACACCAGTACTGTGCTGTACATAGCTGGAAACCAACTGGTTCTTCTAAACTTGAAAACCAAAGAACAAACCTATCTGCGAAGTAGCAGTGGTCAAGGCATTGGTGTCATTGGGGTAAGCTTTGCGTTACTTAGGGGAAAACAACAACAAAAACATCCTTTTCATTGTTCTGTAAAGCAGCCCACTGTGTTTGTCAGGTACCACCACATGAGGACAGCAGTCAGAGGTGTAGTTGAGTCAAGAATGCTAATCCTAATTCCTGTCTCCCTGGATACAAAGTAATTTTATGTTCACATGTCTTATATCTGTTGGGGTCTGGATAGTGGGCCCTTTTTGCCACTATCCATGCCATCTCATCTTTTCTGGAACAGTTATCCAGTTGTAAGGCAATGAGAAGCCTCTGAAAAAATATGGTTTGGGACATATAAACTGTCTTCCAGAAAAGACAGGGTGAATCTGTATGTTGAGTGTAAAGTAAATGTTGTATTCATTTCATGTCTCCCCCTAAAAATAAAACACTGAAACTCAGTCCCACAGCAACTTCTAGATGAGAAGGCCGACACTTTTTGACTTAGTGTAGACAAGACCTAGAAAAGCAAAGGATTGGGAACCAGCAGTTAGCGTAATGGCTATGTTGCTGGACTCCCACGTAGTTGACCGCAGTTCGAGTCCCGGACTCGTGTGCGTGCGTGCCCAAGATCCCGAGAGGAGAATGGAGGAGAAGGGATTGTGGTGTGACCATCCCCCCTGGGGGGTGATTTCTCGCTTTCTGTCTCTATGTCTCTGTCTGTCTGTCTGGCGAGCACACGTGCCCTATAGCAAAAAACCTCTCAAAAAAAAAAAAAAAAAGAAAGAAAAGCAAAGGATTTGCTGAACCTCCCTCTTTCTATGACCATCTGTCCTACACAATATTTCTTTGTAAACAGATATCTAGATGGATATATTCTTTATTTCCCCCACCTCTTTGGGATCTACTATTTCTTAGTCCCTTGTGCTTTTTGACACATGGATTGAATCCTGTCTCTCACACCACACTGCAGCCTGTCCGACGACAGGGAAGTTACGTGAGGTCTTTGTGACTCAGTTTACTCATCAATAAGACAGGAATGACAGTGGTATCCAAGTTCACCAGGTTGATGCGCAATTTAAACCAATGAATGCACATAAAACATGGGTTAGTGTCTGGTACATAGTAAGCACAATCAATGGAAGCCATATGCAGTGTTACCATCACTCACTGAGTGTTCTTCCTGTACACCCAAGCTCATTTCATGGGGATTTAACCTGAACAAAAGAGTAAGAGTCAGCTTTCTGGTTAGAGCTCAGCCTGTCCATCTATAGCTCCAAGAATAAAGGGAAGAAAAAAGAGCTGCAATTTTGTCTTAGGTACCGGGATTTATAATCGGTGTCTGAGAACCACGCTCCTTGTCCTTAGTTAAATAATCGAGAGTTGTGAAACAGTAACTAAAACCAGAATTTCATAAATACAAAGTGTGTTTTAATTAAGCTTGTTCTTGTAACACCCTATCTTTATTTTCACCTTTTGCTAGCCATTTGCATTTGGCTTCCTGATGCATTTGGCAGAAATGAGCACATGATTGTATCCAACTTACATGGCTATCATGTGAAATGCTGGCACAAATAGTTTATCCAGTGCAAAACTATGTTCTGCGTCTGGCTTGGAATAGTATATCTTTTTCACTTCTAGTAAGTTTACGTTAATTTATGGTAACGTGTCTAAGGTGAAACCTTTTTATGTAGTGATCTAACCTATTCTAGAAACACGAATTCCACCCATTCCATGATTTTTGCTGTTCAATATTTAGGTTGATTTACATGCAGGGTAAACTACATCTCGCTTAGTGATTCTCAAAGTGTAACCAGTTCAGTAGGAATGACATCGCCTTGGAACTTGTTGGAAATGTAAATGAAAATTCTCAAATCCCTCACCTCCTGAATCAGGAACTCGGTGGGCAAAACCCATAATCTGTGCTTTAATAAGCCCTACAAGTGATTCCAATGCACACTAAGGATTGAGAACCGTTTTAGCTTTTCTAATGCATTTAGAAAACTATAGAAATAAGTCTCAGTGAGAGTAAGACAAAATGAGAATTCTTCTAGTTTTCAGTTTAAACCATATCCATCATGAAGTATATATTACATGTCTATTTGGGAGCTTCCTATTGGAGTAGATCCTAATAAATCATAAAAGGATGGATACTAAATACTGCATTAATAGGATTATTCGTATGATCATCCTCCTTTTAATGTTTTAGTGAGGTTTTATTTTTTTGTAGGTTCATCCAGATAAAACTTACTTCGTAGTAGCTGAAAAGGGGAGTTTTCCCAAGATTATCTTCTACGAATATCCTTCACTGAAGCCCTACAGAATTCTTCGAGGTGAATCTGGTAGAATCTTTATTCTGTGTTCAAGGTTTACAGTATTCTGAAGAAGGTATGACATTATTGAATCAGTCAGAGTTCTCCAGAGAAACAGTTCATTGGAAAGAGAAGACTTATTTAATGGACTTGGCTTCCGCAGCTGTGGAGGCTGGCAAGTGTACGGTTTGGAAGGGCGGGCTGGCAGGTTGAAAATTCCTGCGGAGCAGTTGTTGCTGCAGTCTTCAGGCAGAATTTCTTCTTCCTCACGGAGACCTCAGTTTTACTTTTAGGGCTTTTTAGGTTGCTGGATGAAGCTCACCTAGATCATCCAGAATAATCTCCTTTACTTAAAGTCAACTGACTGCAGATGTTAAGGCCACACCTACTGAGCTCCTTCACAGCAGCACCTGGCTGAGTGTTTAATTGAGTGACTGGGTATTATAGTCTAGCCAAGCTGACACGTAAAATTAACCATCACAGATATGTGACAGTTCTGTTTTCCACGTGATTGATTTCAGGAGAAAATTTCCATTTGGGGAGTTTTTCACTGGCAAATTTCAGATGAATTTCTCTCTGCTACCTAATATGTTTTTTGAGTTTCTCTCCCACTTGGTAAAATTGAGTATATTCTCAAAGTACTCTTCTCACACGAAATGTGATTAAGACTTCTTCACCTTCCCTTTTGTGTCATTCGTTCTAAAGCGAGGGCGATGAGTGGTTTTCAGAGTTGTTTCTTTAGGGGATTCTTGGCAGTCTTACGTTCATATATGTCTCCGAGCACTGCCTGCCTCCTTGCTTGATTGCTTCTTTTAATAATGCACTGTTAAAAGTGAAATAAATGTATCCTTTAATAAATTCTTCCTTCCAGATGGGACTGAGAAGGCATATGCTTATGTGGACTTTAACAACAGTGGTACGTTGCTGGCCTCTGTTGGTAGCAACCCTGATTACACATTGACCATCTGGAGCTGGAAAGAAGAACAACCCATCCTGAGGAGAAAAGCTTTTTCCCAGGAAGTTTTTAAGGTTACTTTCAATCCCGAAGATGAAGAACAGCTTACCACAGCAGGTTCAGGCCACATCAAGTAGGTCGGGTGACCAGTAGACACCATAAGGGTCTTTCCTACGATGATCCAAGAACTGGAGACCTTTTCCCTGTTGTTAACATTACTATAATTTTTAAATGTAATATTTAGGTGATAAACTAGTAATGCACCTGTTCTAATCAGATATTTGGGATCTTATTTCCAAAAACAGCATAAATAAAAGGAGGGCTTTTAAATATCACCTGCTGCTGCTTATGGCGGTCACCTCCTGAAAGCCTTTGTATGGTGTCTTAATAACTAGCATTTCATGGTGTTTCCAGATTCAAGTCGACCTTTCCTGCCTGCTACTGAGATACTTGTTTGTTGCCACTCAGTCTTCATCTGTGAACCAAAACTATCACAAAATAATTCCCGACGAGGACCCTCAATATTAAACCATAGCAGAACCCACTCTGGTCCCAGGTCTCTGCCTCTAAATGCTCTGCTCTCTTCACTATCCCACACTCTGGTCTGTTCCCAGGACGGAAGGATTTTCGTTCTTTGCCATTTCTGTTCCACTCTGTCTTGTGCACTTGTGAAAAAACTTTCCACCTCCACCCAGAGCTAGTCATCACTTTGTCATCATTGTCTCTTCAAGAAAATGACATTTTTATCTATACGAAGCTCCTCTTGTTCCACTTTAAATCTAGTCTTCCAAAAAAAAAATCATTCATTTATTAGAAATACAGACAAAAAACAATTGAATAAGATTTTTCTAAAATGAAATTTTGGAATTTTCAATACATTTGGCTAGTGGCTACTTTACTGGGTAGCGAAGAACACTTCTGTCCTGGCAGAACTATCTATGAGGCAGTATTGTTTCTGAGGATATAAACATTTCCAAAAATTTCTAATACGCTAAGCTGTGTTACTGGAGAGTGTTTTCTTGATCACACTGCACCTTCATTTTCTTGTGTATAAAATGAGAGTATTAATGACACTTTATAAAATTGTTGAAAATCTTTTAAAATAATGCCTAGCCCTAAAAGTAACTGATAAATGTTAGTTATTAGTAACTTTTTTTTTTATTAGACATCTAAGTAAATGAACAATGAGAATAAGGAAGACCACGTAGGAAAAAGAATCTGCACCATCCAACTAGAAATATCGGATATATCAATATCCTTCTCCAAACTATGGAAGGTGCCCTGATTAAATGCTTTCATATATTCTTTGGCCACTCTGGATACATAAAATAAATGAACTGTTCAATGTGAATATTTCCCCAAAAGATAGAGCACGTGGAAAATACACATTTTATCAAGTATTAAGAAAATATAAAATATTGGAAATTTTCCCTGTAACTAGCAAAAGTCACCACTAGCCAAATGTATTTATTGAGCACTTTAAATTGTCTAGTCTGACCAAAACACTGAGTTTTCCATTTTATTTAATGTTAGTATTTAAATATAAATTGAAATTGTCACCTGTGGTGGTGCCTACTACATAAAAGATCATAGCTCTAAAATGCAAGATCCAGGGCCACAGGTGGCATGATGGTTAGGGTTGCTGGGATCTCCCACATGACCAACTGCAGTTCAAGTCCTGGACCTGGTAGCTTCCTTTCTCACTTTCTCTCTCTCTCTTTCTCTGTCTCTCTCTGATCAAACTGGAAAATAATAATAATAAATAGTAAATAAAACAATCCTTTAAAAAAACAAAATGCAAGATCTAAGGAAACAGGGAGCTCTCTTTCTTGTCTGTTTTGCTGTTTCCTGAATTCATATCTCCTAGAACTTTATATGAATACTTTTTCTTTTTTTTTTTGGAGAGGATTTTGCTATAGGGCATGTGCGCTCACCAGAAAGACAAAGAGAGACCAAGAGATAGAAAGCGAGAAATCACCCCCCAGGGGGGATGGCCACGCTGCAATCCCTCTTCCTCCATTCTCCTCTCGGGATCTTGGGCACGCACGCACACGCACCCGGCATGAGTTTAAGCCACTGGGTCTGGGACTCAAACCGCGGTCGACTACATGGGAGTTCAACGACGTAACCATTATGCTAACTGCTGGTCCCAGAGCTTTATATGAATACTTAATACATATTAATCAGATGCGTAAATGAATAAATACCTAAGACTATATAAAATATGCAAATATCTGGGTTGTACTAAAATATAAGTAAATAAAACCCTTTGCGGTTCATTCAGTTTCTTTCTTGTTTGTTTGCAGGTTCTGGGAAATGGCTTTTACATTTACTGGTCTCAAGTTGCAGGGGTCACTAGGTCGATTTGGGAAAACAGCCACTACTGACATAGAAGGCTACATGGAGCTTCCAGATGGGAAAGTAAGTAGCACTACTATTCTGCAATGGTACAGCTGTACTTTCAAGTATGTTTATGAAATCATACGTGTATAAAAGACACATGCTACACTCTAAGATCTCTGCCAATAGTAATAGCAGGTGTTCTACTTGTAAATGAAATGAACATTTCATTTCACTTCTTCAGATGATAGCAAGTATCATTAAAATATTTTCTGAAATTGTCATCATCCACAGGTACATACCATTTTGTTTTCTTTTTCCTTAAATATTATATACACCTATAAAGCTTGTGAATGTTTTCATACATTAACAGTGACATGATCCACTTTTAATTGTGGAGTCACACCATTTACATTACTTTTCCTGTCCCTTTTTTCTTTTTGCCATCATACTCCAAGAGGCTTACTGGGTCACGGGTGACATACAGTCTGTCACTTTTGTTTTTATTATCAGCTTATCATTCAGGATTAAATCACTTTACAATAGCATCCACAAAACTTCAATGTTATTCTTTAATATTGTTGGTTTACTTCCTCTCTTCTGCTTACAAAATCTATAGGCACATTGCCTGAAATGATCATTAGAATCCGTCCTCCACTGATGTTTTATTTGCTTTCCTAGTTGGATGAGTTGTACGGTATTATTTATGATCATCTCAGTTATAAGTAAACGCCATTAGGCAAATATTATTCTAACTTTAAGGAACAAAATGGTCTCGTCATCTACCTGATGGAATAGTCTCAATTCAAAAGCGTGGTGGATACAAGGAAATATGATGCCTTGCATTCTGGCTGCTATATATCCCAGACCTTTATGATGATCTTAAATCATTCCAGCTTCCAATTCTGCATTCTGTAAGAATTAAGCTAAGATGAAGATCAGTTCAACAACATAGTATGAGGTATATCTTTAAAAGGGTCAGTAGATTTTGTATAGATATAGGGGAAAAGAGCGATGAGAAAGCCAGAAAGGAAACGTTTAGAGTTAGGAATACATATCAGACGGTTAGAAGGCTGATTGAAATAAAACCTTCACATGGTGAAAGAGTGCAGAATTTAGGTTGACAAGTATAATTGGGTCCTAGTGTGTGAAAAGTTTAACAATCAGGCAGAACTATTGTTACATCAGTAGTGTAGAGTAGTAGGAGGCGTAGTGGTTGAGGTGCTAGACTCCCACATTCCTGACCACAGTTCGAGTCCCAGACCTGGTGGCTTGAAACTCATACCAGGCATGTGTGCGTGCATGTCCAAAAATCCTGAGAGGAGAATGGAGGAGAAGGGACTGCAGTGTGGTCATGCCCTCTGGAGGGCGATTTCTTGCTTTCTGTCTCTTGGTCTCTCTCTGTCTCTCTGAAGAGCCTAAAAAAAAAAAGAAAGAAAAGAAAGAAAGAAAAGTGTAGAGTTGCAAATTATGGATTAACTTGGCCATAAAATGCCAAGTGGATTAGAGGAAGAGAAATCTGGAGTCAAGGAGATTGAACCTAGGAAGAAGCTGTCAGCATGATCTCGAAAGAGATGCTAAGGGACTAGGCTTTTTGGGACCAGTGGAAAGGGCATGCTGAATATGAGTGGCATTTCAGAAGCACAGCTTACAGGTTTCGGTCACCTTTGGTGACTTTAGTCACCGGACAGAAGAAAGCAATTTACGGGAACCAGCAGTTAGCATAATGGCTATGTCGCTGGACTCCCATGTAGTCGACCGCGGTTCGTGTCCCGGACCCGGTGGCTTAAAACTCATGCTGGGCGTGTGTGCGTGCGTGCCCAAGATCCTGAGAGGAGAATGGAGGAGAAGGGATTGTTGGCGTGGCCATCCCCCCTGGGGGGTGATTTCTCGCTTTCTGTCTCTATGTTTCTCTCTGTCTGTCTGTCTGGCGAGCGCACATGCCCTATAGCGAAAACCTCTCCAAAAAAAAAAAAAAAAGAAGAAGAAAGCAATTTGCATAAAGACTGTAGGATAAGTGGGCTGAAGCTTAATAATAGATAATAATAGGTAAAACAAATAAAATTAGGTAGACCCAAGAGTAGAAGGCCTTAGGAAAGTCAGCCTTTATTCTAAATGAGTAAAAAACGATAATTAAGAGCCCCCGCAGTAGGCAGGGAAAGTGTTGCTCAGAGTACATTTTCTGGAACATCAGCCTGCACAAAAGCTCTTCGAAAATAAGTCTTTCCATCCAATTCCTTTGTATCTAGAAATCTTTCCTGGAGATTCTCAGCAAGTACTTCTATATTAAACTTTCCTGAGGGTTCTAGAGAAAATAAATTGGTTTGACTTTGTTTATGCTAGCATCTGCTCTCTGAGGCAGTATATCAGAACAGCCAGGGTTCATGGTTTAGAACCCTGACTCTTCTGAGTAATGTTGAATAAGTTACTTAATTGTTTTTTGCTTATTTTCTCCTTTTTAAAATTGAGATAATTGAAGAACTTCCATAGGTCCCTAGGGTTCCTTCATGGGAAAGAGAAAGTTATATCTTCAGGGAAAATAAAGCAACTGTACACGGTATCCCTGATGAATGTGCCTAGTTCACACAGTTTTTAACATAACATAACTTAACACACGCAGAGTGTTCAAGCAGTGCTTGGTGCAGTGTCAATACTCAGTAAGTGTTACTTATGATGTAGCACTTGCTAAACATCCTAAGAAAGAAAGTTTGGTGGTATGCCCTTTGAGCAATGCAAGGCTAAATGGTAATTTGGTTCATTAATTTGAGATTGTCCCAGATGACTATCTTTGTCTGGAACTGGATACTATTATGCTATCATCTGTTCAATTCAGTAGTGGTCTTACACTTGGCAAACATCTTTATTTTAACTTAATTTAATTTTATTATTATTATTTTAAACATTCAATTGCTATACATCATTTGGCTTATAAAGAGAATTTACCCAACATGAAATATACCTCCGACCACTCCACTTGAGGATACGATACACGTTATCAATCAATAGATAATAAACCATTTCTGTGTCTCACGAAGGTCTTGCTTCTCTGTTTCTTCTCCCTGATTTCCTTCCCTATGCTCCTCCCCTCGCCCACTCTCCTTCCACACCGTCTCCGGTGTCTGTAACTATTTTCACTGCTTTCATGTCCTCCAGTCTTTCAGTCTCTACCGTAGAGTGTGGACAGTCGGTATATATCAGGCGGAAATATATGATGTCTCTCTTTCATAGCCAGACTTGCTTCATTCAGCAGTAAATCTTCCATATTCCACCACTTTCTATCAAATGCCAGGGTCTTCTTGTTTTTTTTTTTTTTTTTAAATGACTGAATAATATTCCATAGAGATATGTTTGGCAAACATCTTATAGAATTTGATAATATCACACTTCAAAAAGTAGGTTGTTATCTTTCGAGAACTTTAAACATATCTCTAATTTTTGGCCTTGTAATTCTACTCCTGGAATGTCCTTAAGACATGTACAAAGCGATCTATGTGCACAGGTGAAAACAGCCAGTACTGTATAGCCTAATCACAGTGATCTAGACCTACACATAATGCTAGAAGAAAATACTGGGTCATTGGAAAAACCATGATGTTTTTTTGTTTCTCTATGCAAAAATGCACGATGACTTTCCCGACGACCCAATACATCAAAATGTGATTAGTAGTTGTGCCTGGGATGGTGAGTTTTAATGACTATATTTTCTTATTTTTTTGTATTCAAATTTTTCCCTTCCCCTTCACCCCCAGGTTTTTTTACTATAGGGTGTGTGCACTCACCAGAGAGAGACTAAGAGAGAGGAAAATTGAGAAATCATCCCCCAGAGGGAATGGCCATGCTGCAATCCCTTCTCCTCCATTCTCCTCTCGGGATTTTGGGCACACAGGCACACGCACGTGGTATAATTTTCAAGACCTTAGGTCTGGGACTCAAACTGTGGTTGCCCATGTGGAATCCAGGGCTCTAACTACCACACCACCTGTTGGCCTCATATGTTTTACTTTTTTAATCTAGAAAAATGATCTTTAAGAAATGATTCTCTGGCCAGCCTGTGACCTGGTGGTTAGGTGGCTGGATTCTACATGGCCAACAACTCTATCAAGTCCCAGACTTGGTGGCTTGAAAAAATAGCCAGGCCTGTGTGTGTGCATGCCTCTAATCCTGAGAGTAGGGAGAGATGGAGGAGAAGGATTGCAGCCTGAACAAGCTCCATGAGGGTGCTTTCTTCTCCCTGCCCCATCTCTTTCCTGTGAGTGCACATACCCTCTGGCAAATTTAAAAAACAGACAAAGAAATAGTCCTCACTCTTTGAGGCATAAATATATACCTTTTTCTGTTTTAATGTACATTTCTTTCTTTCCACACATCTGTCAGGTGCTCTCAGGGTCAGAATGGGGCAACATGCTCCTTTGGGATGGTGGTCTCATCAAAGTGGAGCTCTGTCGAGCTGGAAAGAAGTCTTGTCACCAAGGTGCCATTAACCAGATCATGCTGGACGAGGGGGAAGTTATCACTATTGGGTCAGATGGATGTGTCCGGGTGAGTTTTCTTGGTACTTGGATAATAGCACTTGCATCTAAGACTTGCAGATGATCCAAGTGATTTTTTTTAGATTTTTATTTCTCCTGAAGTTCACTTTATGAAGGAGATCAATATTCATTTACTCCCCAGCCCAACTCAATTAAAATAAGATTTCTTCCGTAGTAAATATTCGCATTGTTGTCCATTTTAGTTTACTTCATTTTCTGAATTTTTTTCCAAAGTTTCAGAGGACACTTTTGTGATTTCCATTATTTTGTTAAAATAATAGCTTCAGAAAATGAAAACCCAGTTAGCACACGTTAGCCTGATAGAGACAGTGGGCACACATGTCCCTCCAAAAGGCCTGGTCATTTTCTGAACACAAAATCGCCAGACATTGTCTAGTTATATTTCCTGAGGCTACCCAGTGAAAAATGCACGGAACAGTGAGCCGATGGTTTGCTGATGGCTGCTGCCCTCTGACTGCTCCTCACGCTAGGGCTCTCACCTGCTTTCATTGTGGATCTCCTCAGCCCCAAACCTGGGCTAACCAGTCATCGTTCCAGCATCTCAGTCTCCTTGTTGCTGTTGTCACTTCTTTCCCTTGGCACCCTGCATGACACTGTGAACATGTGTCCACAGCCTGTGGTCTTAGGATTTGCTTTGCAAGCCCTTTGGTGTACCTTCCTTCTGGAACCTTCCATGAGAAAGTAGGAGTATTTTCTTGACAGTCTTTAAGAAGTATTATCAGAAATATGATTGGTCTCCTTTCCCAAGGAACAACAATTCTCATCTGAGATAGAGTATAAATCAGTATTAAGGAAGAGAAACTTTTCTTCTTCTTTTTTAAACGGATGATAGACATCATCTACATTCATTTTCTCTGCTTGTAATAAAGATATTACTTGCAGATCAGCAGTTAGCGTAATGGCTATGTAACTGGACTCCCATGTAGTCAACCATGGTTCAAATCCTGGACCTGGTGGCTTAAACTCACATCGGGCGTATGTGTGTGTGCCCAAGATCCCAAGAGGAGAATGGAGGCGAAGGGATTGTGCTGTGGCCATCCACCCCCCATGGGGGGTGATTTCTTGCTTTCTGTCTCTCTGTCTCTCTCCATCTTTCTGGTGCGCGCATGCGCCCTGTAGCACAAACCTCTTCAAAAATTAAAATAAGATATTGCTTGAATCATTAAAATTCTAGGGCCATATTTTGGCTGGTATTCTAATTATACCTACTAATTGTTCATTCTCATGAAACAAAAACAAAATCAAACAAAAATTTAGGGACTTTTCTAGCTTAGGAAATACTACTGTTCAGAAACTACTGATTGATTAAAGCATTTGTAAAATTCATTTTACAAGATATGGGATTTCG